TTTCGTTCTGCTGTGCATGGGGTCGCTATGAGTCGGTTCCGACTCGATGGCACCTGACAACAACAACCTGACAACAACATAGCGACCCTATGTACAACAGATTGAAACACTTCCTGGGCTTGCGCGGACCTCACAGTTGCTACATTTGAGCCCATTGCTTCTGCCACTGCGCCAACAAATATTCGGGAAGTAGCCCGTCTCCTTCTTCCTATTCACTATTCAAGGCTTGTTGTTGTTAGGGTGCAGGGAGATTAACACATGGGACTGTGACACACAGGGGTGACCTTGTTTCTCACCCTATTAGCTGCAGGCCCTGTGCAAATTGCTGCCCCCACGAGCCTTGGCATCCCCCTGCGAAACAGACACCATATGCCCACTACGCCAGGCAAGATAAGATGCTGTGCTGGGCAAATTGGGACTTGAACCTGGCCTAACTTCAAAGCTGAGCCCCCTCTCTGCAACCAAGCTACTTTCCTATAGGATCGCCCGCCTGCTGATGCCTGCCTTGTGTGGGAGTCTCTGAGTCAAAGCTGAGAGGCGAAGGACTTGGGGTGTTTTCAGACAGTTGGGTCCTCTGGACACCAGTTCTATCAGGTAAGCATGCGGGTCGTCTGTGACAAGATGACCAGGTTCTCAAGTAAGTAATCTCACTGCGACGACCTCGTGGTGTCCCTGTGGTCACACCCGCCAGGCATTTTCAAGGTGAGTCTTGTCAGGACTGGAAGGACATTTACCTCAGGGTATAGAGAGGGCTCTGCCGGGGAGCAGGTGGCCCAGCCAGGACTCACGTCCCCTTCTGATGACTCGCACTGTCTCCTGAATCAAGAGAGGTTCCTATAGCCAGGGCGGATCCTCCCAAGCCAGACTGACCTGCCTATCACTGCGATCTCTGTATTGGTGTCCCTGGTAATTGTAAGGTTGGAAGGGCAGGTTCACTCAGAGGTGCCTCGGAAGAAATGCCTGGCAACCAACTTCTCAGAAAACCAGCCATGGAAAACCCAGTGGATTCTTCTACTCGGACTCACATAGAGTCACTAGGAGGCAGGATGGTTTGTGGTTTTTATATTAATAAAACTGCTGGAGAAGACACACAGTATTATGTAGAAAAGAGTTTCATATACAAATAGATCCTTTATATAAACCTTTAAAAATATAAAACGCTATTACAATTTTGTAAAAATAGTATCTGCATTCTATAGACTTGTATGTTTTTTTCTATTACACCACGGGATGTTCAGTTGCTGATCCTGATGGGGCCCTCGTCACGCTAACTACAGTAACCGGAGCGTCTTTCAAGCCTTCGGCGCCTGTGGTTCGAGCCCTCCGCTCCCGTGCTGGAGGGCAGGGACACCAGCAGGCCTCTCTCCCAAATCCTGGGCTCAAACCGCGTCCAACCGTTAGCCCCACGAGGGCCAGGACTCAGTCCCGGGACATGGACCGGTTCCTGCAGCCTCGGTGCTGACGTCACTGGTCCAGTTCACTCTCATTCTGCAGCGTCTTCATGGCAAGGCCCCAGAGGGTCATGCTGGAGAAAAACTGCCCCTCGGAGCTCCTGTAGGCAGTGGACGGGGCCCGGGCGCCCAGCGCGTCACTGCAGTGACTGTCCAGGGCGGCCAGGGATGAGCGGATAATGGACATGCTGTCGGCCGGCAAAGGTTCAGCCTCGGCCTCCACATCCGCGTAAGTGTACGCTGGCTGCATCGGGTGCTTGGCAAGTTTGCCAGGGTCCCCACTCAGCTTCTCGTGGTCACGGACGCCCTGGGACGGAAGGGCGTGGGCACGCAGCTTACAGCAGGCTCCCGCACAACGGCTATCCAATTCAGTCTCGGGCTCTTCCGTGGAGTGGGCCGGGAGCGTATCCCCCACCGGCACCCCGTTGACCGTGGCATCCGGGGTTGGTGAGTGGGACCTCTGCGGCGGGTCCAGGTCGGGGGTCTCCGGCGTGCCCGGGCGGTCAGCGTCGGCCTTCCCATGCATCTTCCGGTGCCGCCGCAGCACCGCCGAGCGCGTGAAGCATTTGTTACAGATCTCGCACGTGTACGGCTTCTCCCCCGTGTGCGTGCGCACGTGCCTGCGGAGGTCTCCCGAGCCCCCGAAACATTTCCCTGGGAAGAGGAAACAGCACTGTGAGACGCCATCCTACTCCCATCTTTTGGCTCCGGCGGCCAGCATGAGACGACGTTTCTGTTCTTCCAGGAGGGGTTACCCCAGGGGCAGACCCCCGCCCCCCACTCCCCAGGTGCACGGACACCACGGGGCACTTGTTCTCGTGGGCTCATGGAAGGGACCCCCGTTTGTCTCATCCCATTTCCAGAGACTCAGCAGCCCCGTCTCTAATTTGGAAGCTGCTTTCCTAAAGGTATTTAAATATCGGCCTTTAACACATTTGACTGCCATGGATTGAAGTGTGTTCCCCCAAGTACCTGTCAGTGTGCTCTACGTCATCATCCCCGCGATGTGATGTCATGTGATAAACCCATACAAGGATAGAGTGGCATGTCGTTGCTAAGTGCTGTCCAGCCACCCTGTATAGGATTTCTGAGCAGCAGCTGGTGGGTTTGAACTGCTGACCTTCAAGTCAGTAGCCCAGCGCTTATTCTCTAGTGCCACACCAGGTGGGATACATTATCTTTTATCCCATCAAGTCCCTGATTCCATGTCAGGCAGACTCTCAGGGGTGTGGCCTGCAACAGCTTTCATCTTACAGGAGGTAAGAGGAGAAGGGGGCCTAGATCACCAAGAAAGAAGAGCCAGGAGGGGGATTCGGTATTTGGACCCGGGGTCCCTGCCCTGTGAAACTCCCAGAGCTGGGGAAGACTGACGCCAAGACACACGGACATCTCCAAAGACTGCTGGGCCTGAGATGCTGACAGGAGACAAGGCCTTCCTCCTACACTGTGAGAAAATACATTTCTGTGTGAAAGCCACCCACTTGTGAGATTTCCGGGCTAGCAGCAGTAGATAACTAAGACCCATCTCTGGGTGGTTTCTTTTCTGTGTACACAGCACAAGCCAGTCAGTAAGGGCCGGATGTACACAGGGGACTGTGTGTTTACAACAGAGGACCACAAACTAAGTATACAACACAGTTTAAAGGGGTAGGTGTTTAGGACTTCTCGTTACCTGCTACAAAAACCAGTGGCCTAAAAAGCTAAAGAGGATATAGAGAAACTCTGTTAACTGATGGTATGTGGAGGGGATTATAATCAATGTAATGAAACAAGGTATATGAATGTTTGAATGTGAAACCCATGATGTGCCCTGAAAACTTTCACTCAATCCACAATAAAAACCTTAAAAAAAAAAAGAGATCCACAGTCCTACACAAGAGATAAAATGTTCATTTTCCTGTTTATTTGTTTCTGACTCACATAAAACCCAGTTACTAATGACCACTGTGTGAATGAAAAAGAAGATGAGTAAAGATGTTCGGCAAATGGAAGAAAAACCCAAATAAAATTGTATCAAGATTTACTCACAAAAAAAAACAAAACAAAAAAAAACCAGTGGCCTTGGTTCTGACTTGGACTCTAGGTGACCCTGTGCGTCAGAGAACTGTGCTCTACAAGGATTTCATTGACTGACTTTGGAAGTCCACCACCAAGCCTTTTTCCCCAAGGTTCCTCTGGGTGGATCTGAACCACAAACCTTTCTGTTCAGTAGCTGAGTGTGTTAGCTGTTTTTACCCTGGAGGGGCCCTGCTTACCCATGTCATTCATTCACACACACTCCCAGCTAGCCAGCCCTCAGAAGCAACAAGTGGGCTTACAGCAGAGGAGGTCCTAGTCTCCAAGTCGTTGCACCTGCTTTTTGCCCACACAGTCTAGTTTCCTTGGGTATCATAGGAAAGCATTTTCACGCCCTGCTGCGTGGTCTTTAGAGTGGTCACTTTCTCCACCATTTGCAACTTGATGGATCAGTGGCTTCCACCCCCTCCTCTAGGGGACACCTGGCCACTTCCACCGCTGGCTCCTGTGAGCAGCTCAGTGAGCCTTCCTGGGCACAGATCCCCCCGCCTCTTGGTTGTTTCCTTCCGGGGGAAGGCAGATGTACCTCCACCTCGTAACCCCTTCACCAGTTCTGACCTCGGCCCTCCCGGTCACAGCTCTCTACTGGACTGTTGGGGTCCATGGGTCAAGGAAATGGCTCCATAAAACACACACCTGTTCACTGACTGAATCATGGTCCCCCACCCCAAATACAACTCAGCTAGGCCATGATGCCCAGTATGGTGTGGCTGTCTTCATTTGGGGATGTAAATTCTAGCTTGTTGTTCCGGGAGAGATGGTTCACTATGTCAATGGGGCAAGGTTAGGCCAAATCCTGGGGTGGTGGTGTGGGATAAAGAGCCGCACCGCAAGGTCGGGCTGAACCACAAGGTCAGCGGTTCAAACCCATTAGCCACTCCTTGGAAAACCTATATACGGTTGCTATGAGTTGGGACCAACTTGACAACAATTAACAACGTGACATTGTAGGGTAACCCTATACAGGGCCACTATGAGTCAGTACCGACTTGTCGGCACTTAGTAACACCAACAATGAGGATTAGGCTAGGTCTGTAAGGCTAATGTGGCAGAATTAGGGTGGGGCGTACCCTTTCCTGCCTTACAAGAGATCAAGGCAGCAAGAAGCAAGTCAACAGTGAGAGAATTCGGCACCACCAAAACAGAGGAGCAGGATATAGGGTGCGCCTTTAGACCCAGGGGAGCCTCCCCCAGAGCTGACAGAGAGAGGAGGCCTTCCCATAGCAGGTGGAATTGCACTTCTAATCACCTGCAGTGTGACAGAGTAAGTACCTGCTTGTTAAAATCACACACTGGTGGGGCTTTTGTTAGAGCAGCACCAGAGTCCTGGGGTGGCGCTGGGGATTAGCACTGGACTACAAGGTCGATTGGAACCAGAAGGTGGTGGTGGTTCAAATGCACCAGCTGCTCCTTGGAATCCTTATACAGGGTCACTATGAATCAGGACGACTCAAGGGCACTTAACAACAAACAAGTGAGAATGAAGACGGGAAGTAACAGGTTACAATTCAGGATCAGGACCAACTCAGGATACAAGTCTCTCATGAGGACAGTGTCTTCTTGGCTGCGATGGGGCCTCATTCCTGGCTGGGCCCTCGGGCTGGGTCCTGGACAAGCATCACACAGCTCTTGTGCTCTGCTGGTGAGGTGTCCACTCAGCCAGCAAGCCTCCGGCTGGGAGCTCTCAGCTCTCTTGCTCCACAGGTTGGCAGGCCTACTATAGCTGTCTGGCTCTCTGGGCCAGAAAGCCCACTGTGCCATCTGGGAACATCCATGGGGCTGCCTGTGTTTTCACCCAGGAGGTGTATACAGTGTAAGCAGGGAGACAGCCCCGAAGTCCACCCTGAGAGCCAGATAAGGACAAGCCACTCTGAAACCTGCCCTCCTTCCAGGTGGCCCAAGTTTGGTCTCTGCTGGTGATGGCGAAAATCTCCTCATTCCTCCACCCATGACTGAAGGGGCTTGTCCCGTACTTACCATGTGTGCAGGCTCACCTGCGCACCCCCCAGTTCACTGGGCTCTGACACGCGGGGGGGTTAACAGGTGACTCAGCCGGAGTCTCCACCCCTTCACCTGTGGGGTCCCGTACCCGACCCACAGCCGGAGTCTCCACTCCTTCACCCGTGTGGTCCCGTAGCCCACCCACAGCCAGAGTCTCCACCTCTTCACCTGTGGGGTCCCGTACCCGACCCACAGCCAGAGTCTCCACCCCTTCACCCATGTGGTCCCGTACCCCACCCACAGCCGGAGTTTCCACTCCTTCATCCGTGTGGTCCCGTACCCGACCCACAGCCGGAGTCTTCACCCCTTCACCTGTGGGGTCCCGTACCCCACCCACAGGGCTGCTGACTTATCTGCGCTGGAATGAAACCCCCACCTCCCAGGGATGGTCCAATAAGCCCCAATTCTGGACCCCAGTCTGGGTTCCTCCTCCCCCGTGAGGACTCAACAGCTGCCACCCCCTCCCCAGCCCCGGCCTCATCCCGGCCGCACCTTGCCAGCAGGGCCTGCGCCTCAGCCACCTGGGTCCTGAGTGTCCAGGCAGTGACCGTATGAGTGGGGAAAGGCGGGCACGTAGAGCACTAAGGAACTGTTTCTGGCTCCGCCCACTGGACATGGGCGGTCCCCAGAGCACTCACCGCAGGCTGAGCAGCTGTATGGCCGCTCCCCTGTGTGCCAAATCCGGTGTTTCACCAGCTTCCTCTGCATGTTGAAGGACTTCCCACACTCGTCGCAGGTGAAGACTTTGTCGGCCGTGTGTGTCTTCTTGTGCTCCTTCAGATTACTGAAGTTACTAAACCCTGGGGAGACCAGCACAGGTGCGAAGGTGAGGGGCGGGCCAAGGACATGCTACTCCATCCTCTTTCAAGAAGCCAGAGGCTGAACCATACCTCGGCCGCAGGTATCACACAGGTGGGGCTTTTCTACCGAGTGGATGATGATGTGACGCTGCACGTCCCCGGAGGCCGCAAACCTGTGAAGCAATTTGAAAACTCAATGAGGAACCTGTGGGCATTGTTAGCGTGCAATGTCACCATGCAACGACAGCGCAAGCGGCGGGCTTTCGCTGCAGGCGAGTGCTCAAAGGATTGGTAGGCATTCTCGTTTTGCGGGGAAAACAGCAAAGGCGGCAAGGGTTTTTAAGGAGAGTTTTCCCAGTTGGCTTCACTAATCTTTCTCCTCCGTCTTACAGCATCACATCTGTCCATTTCGTCTGAAGAAAGGAGGGCACACCGAATCCTGCTGTGTGCCAATTCAGAGTGAGGCTGACAGTCGGCACCTAGACAATGAGAGTGACCACGAAGGTCTGGCAGGGTCCTGGTAGATGCAGTCCAGGCCTGCTCCCCTCAAGGGGATGTTCAAGTGGCGCTGCTGACTCATTTCTGGGCCCAATAAAGAACATGCTGAGATGAAAAAGGTGTGTCAGAAGGAAGTGCAGCTGGCATTCCCCAAATGGCAGGTTACTTAATTTTTAATGGTTTCTAACAAGGAGTTATACACAGGGTTCCAAGGAAACCATCTGCCTTGTTAGGAGCTAATCAGCTAATTACCATCCAACCGTAGGAGAGCAGTGGTGGTGTGTCATGGCAGATAAGGGGTGTGTGTTTCAGCCTCTGATGTCAAACAGTTACTATAGGACAGTGTGCTTGTGTGGGCCAGGGGAAGTGGGTTTACCCACTTTTCATTGGTTTTTACCTAGCTTTCATCTCATCTCAAGCTAACTTCTGTTGTTGTGAAGTGCAGCTGAGTCGATTCGGACTCACAGCGACTCTACACAGGGTTTCCAAGGAGCAGTTGGTGGGTTTGAACTGCCAACTTTGTGGTTCGCAGTCCAGGGCTTACCCTACAGTGAGCGCCACACCAGGTCCTCCTATTCCACGAGAGAGGTTTGGCCTGGTACATGGAGTGTTAGGAGGTGTCCCGAGGAACGGGCTGTGTGTGGGACCACTCATGTCACAGGAAGCAGACAGGATGCCAGGAAGGCTTCTGAGGAGGCTTCTGTTCTCCCCCGTATCCCCGCAGACGAGTGCTGCCCTCCACTGAAGCCACCATGGGCACTTGTTCAGGGAGCACTTTTAAGAGTGAGTCAGCAGAGGAAACCAAGTCCAGACGGAGCCAGCCTTGGCAAAGGGCTACCGCAAGCGGCACCTCATCGATCCCTGGGGCGATCATCCTGGTAACAGGCATTTCCATAACGAAGGCACATTCTCAGAGAAAGTCACCGAGCTCCACTCGAAATCCCCCTTTCCTTCCTCAGACTCCTGCCCTCAATTGGTTGGCCTGCGTCCCTGAGGGTAGCGCTAAGCCCACACCCAGCGTGTCTGCAGGCTTCCCCTCGCACTGACCTCTTTCCACAGATCTCGCAGATGTACGGCTTCTCCCCAGAGTGTCGGCGCAAGTGAGTCTGCAAGTTGCCGGCCTGCAAAGACAAGGAGACAAGATGCACCCATAATGAAAGGGTATTTTTTATTTTTCAAAAAAAAAAGGTTTTACAGATTTAAAAGGAAAACTAACAGCTCTCTTTGGTTCCAGTCCAACTTGCAGATGAAGACCAACCCACTGCTACCACTGGGTCGGTTCCAACTCAGAGGGACCCTCTATAGGGTTCCCGAGGCTGTAAATCTTTACGGGAGCAGACCGCTTCATCTTTCTCCCAAGGAGCGGCTGGTGGGTTTGAACCACCAACCTTGCGGTTAGTAGCCCAGCACCCAACCCACGCTGCCACCAGGGATCCTTCAATGAAGACCAACTTCTGAGGCGCTAACTTCTAATGTGGAGATTGCAGGCAGACGCCACGGCAGCCTGCGAGCAGGTCGTAAAGGGTCCCCTGAAACCGAAAGGAGTTGCAGAGCTCGGAGTGACCAAGTGGAAGAAGAAACCGAAGGACAAAGACAAGGTGGAACTTCTGGAAGTGATGGGAATGAACAAGAAGAATGAGGAGGAGAAGCAGCGTGGCCTGGACAACAGGCCCAGGTGACTTTCAATAAGATGCAGAAGTGGCAAATGGAGGAACCACAAGAAAGTGTCCAAAACCCACAAGCAGAGAGTGGAGGACTTCGAAAGGCACCTGGACACACTCAGGGAGCATTACGACACCCCTGAAGTCTGCTGGACCAAGTAGCCTCCACCCTATGGACATGGCAGGGCCTCGAGGAGAAGTGAAACACAAAGGTAAGCTCATGTCTGGTGCCTTTGGCAATTCCCAGAAACAGTCTTTCACCCACGCCTGTGCGTTTCCTGCTGTAACAGTGCTTTTTGAAACTGTCACTCCATTCTGGAACCTGATGACAGTAAGCTAACTGTCCTTACACACACACAAATGAGTAGTGTTCTGTTACGTATAGTTGATAAAAGAGCATGAAATCAGACTAAATAAACTGTCTACGGGGTCACTATGAGTTGGAACTGACTTGACTGCACTGAGACGACTATACACATGGACCTCACTGGATAGAATACATAGAAATCAAATTGACTACATCTGCGGAAAGAGATGATGGAAAAAGCTCCATATCATCAGTGAAAACAAGACCAGGGGCAGACTGTGGAACAGAACATCAATTGTTCAAATACAAATTCAAACTAAAGCTGAAGAAAATGAAAACAAGTCCAAGAGAGCCAAAAAATGACTTTGAATATACCCCATGTGAATTTAGAGATCTGAAGAACAGATTTGATACATTAAACACTAATGGTCAAAGACCAATAGAGTTGTAGGATGACATCAAGAGCATCATACATGAAGAAAGCAAAATGTCATTAAGACAAGAAAGAAGGAAAAGGTCAAAATGGATGAAGAGACACTGAAACTTGCTCTCCAGCGTAGAGATGCTAACGCAAATGGAAGATATGAGGAGGTCAGCTCGAGAAGATAAAGCCAAATATTACAACAAAATGTGCAAAGATCTGGAATCACAAAACCAAAAGGGAAGAACACGCTCAGCATTTCTCAAGCTGAGGGAACTGAAGACAAAATTCAAGCCTTGACTTTCATTATTGAAAGATTCTCTGGGCAAATTATTGAATGATGCAGAAATCATCAAGAAAAGATGGAAGGAATACACAGAGTCACTGTACCAAAAGGACATGGTTAATGTTCAACCGTTTCAAGAGGTAGCATATGATCAAGAGCCAATGATACTTAAGGAGGAAGTCCAAGGTGCATTGAAGGAATTGGCAAAGAAAAAGGCACCAGGAATTGATGGAATAAAAACTGAAATCTTTCAAGAAAGTGAGGTGGCACAGGAGGCACTCACTCATCT